ACGCACGTCGTCGGCGCCGACACCTCTTTAAATTATTTATTAGTATTCATGTCGACGCTCTTGCTACAAAGCAATAGAGTCGAATTTCCCAAACTTATTAAGCACATAATAATAAGGGGACTAGAACGAGGTAATTTGTAGATTTACTTTATATTTGTATGCAGTTCATACGTGATTTTTGTAATTACTTTAAATCGATCAAACAATTCTCGGGAACTCCCTTTATATTTGCTTTTGCAAACATTTTAGAGTTATTTAGTATGACTTTGTCGTTGGCTCATATTTAGAGTCTGGCAAAACTAAATTGATAATAGTTTATCGATAGTGGGTGACGGCGTCATGTTATTATTTTTTGCCATATTCATAAAAAATCGTTTGAAATTAAAGAACTCAAATTACGAGTTTAAGTGATTTCTATTCACTCAAATTTAATAAAGAATTAATTAACATATATTCTATTAATCTCAGACACCTGACACTGTCGATGATTTGAATATTTTCGAAAAGAAAAAATATAGTTTTAGTATAGAACAAAAATATCTAGATATCATCTATATATCAAAATATCAAAAATATCATCTATATATCTAGATAGATAGATAGATGAACTCTTTATTGCTCACACACACATGAAAAGTTAATAGTAAGTTTCTCAGTTCTAGTAGGCGGACTTATAGCTAAAATGATCTATTCCAGCCAAACCTTATATTAAGGGGCATTTGTGTGTGGTACTATGCCAAAATTAATAAAGAATTATAAAATATTATACTATTACAAATATATTGTATCAATTTCGCAGGTTATTGCGATATAAAAGTGACAAAGAAAATGTGTTTTCTTTTTCCTTTATTTAAATCTGTATTTTTTTAGAACTGTCATGAGCAAGAACTAAATAAAACAATATTATAACATTTTTGTATCATTGTGAATAAATGACAATACTATGACTAACATATCTGAAATTCTATTACACTTGTGTCAACTACATATTCATAACTTGGATTGTTATTCCTTTAGCTGTGTTATTTATTAGAGTTTCCATTCATTAAGTTTCCTACCATTATAATATTAACGAAGTATGTACATTTGTTGAAATAACACGTCACCATGTACTAAAATAGAACAGTATCTCTATACTTATCTGATAATATCGTTTAAGTAAGCATCAATGAAGAATGATATGCGCGTGCTAACTATAAACAAGTCCAATTATAAATAGGAAAATTCCTATATTATCACAAGTGCAGCCGTCAACGCGGCCCAGTTACTTATCTCTACACTGGACAAATAGTATTTAAATTGACCAGTTCATTAACTAATTAAGTAAAGGAAAAATTTGCGCATACAAACCGAAATGTCCTCTTAATAGTTTTGTGTCGCGTAAATATGATAAAGTATTACAAATTAGTGGTAATTCTGTTGAGAAAGTCTAGATTAAGTTGTTTTATGACAAACTGCGTTTTAGGTTCTGTAAAAACTATGATATCAAATATTTTTTTGACAAATTATTTTAAATCATATTTTACAGGGATATAATACACATTTTCTTAGATGACTTGTGATGACAGAATAAAATCAAATCATTTTTTTTGGAGATTTAGTTTAGAGATTTGTACCACAGATTATATGCTAAGTAGCTATTATGTTTGGCTTCAACCGTGTGGTCAAAGGATAACGCAACATAATTAATCTTGTCTTTACTGTGATTTGGAAGAACGATAAATAAATATACCCTCACATTTCTAATATAATTATGCATTTAATTTTTTGATTAACATGTTTATACTAAGAAATAGATAATAATGTTAACACTATTAACACTATTTGTAATATTGCAACTACATAAAATAGTATCATAATTTATACAGTTTAATATCTAATTCCGTATTTAAAAAAGTCGGTAACTTTTTTTTAAACTTTCAATTAATTGAAAGTCTAAAAAAAATATCGTCTTTACTTTTAAAAACAAATAATATTACTTTTGAATTTAAACTTAAAAACAAACTTGCATCATCTTTCCGGTCATAATCATTACTTATAATAATTTTTTAAACGAACAAAGTTCTTAAACGAACTTACGAGTCATCAAGATATAATACACGAACAGGAAAAATAGGATATGCAAAAAATATATATTATATAAGTTTCTTAAAAACTTGAACGGGTTTCTTTTAAAACCGCAAGGCAGGTATCGAATTCTAATAGCTGTCAAGATAATACACAGTCAGAATTTTTACTTTTCGATCTGTTACATCTTTATATACTACATATGTATATTTTTTATTTCATGCATATAAAAAGCTTTATGAAAAACTTCAAACTAAGTATTGTAAATATATGTTTCGATCTGTTACATCTTTATATACTACATATGTATATTTTTTATTTCATGCATATTTAAAACTTTATGAAAAACTTCAAACTAAGTATTGTAAATATATGTTTGATATTATTAAAAATAGAATATCATGGCGCCATTATTTTTAAGTAACACCTAATACAGTTATTTTCGTCCAAATTTTGTAAACGCAGCCAATTGGCACTTAATTACGACAGTCGTTAAATTATCAGAAGGCAAATTATTATCAATATTTTCATAACCAGATCATTGGATAAACTTTCCGATGCTCATTAATAGTCCATTAATGAGGCTGGGTTATTATTTCTATTAAGTATAACTTGACTTGTTTGGACCAATAATCACTTTTCTATATTTAAATAACAAAATTACTAACAATGCATGCTGTTATTATACTAAGTTTTTTACATGCGATGTTACATTATTTTAAAAATATATTAATCTACAATATTATTTATTCGTTAACAAAAAAAAGTTAAAATATCTTACAGAAGATAAAAACTAGAACATTACAATCATTAATGTAACGAGTAGTTAATTAAACTGGAATATCAAATATTATTTAATAATTAGTGGAACCGGCCACTAATGTACACATCGTGTTATGTCGTTTTCCACGACGACGTGATTAGTGACTACTTAATTGACATTTTTCCGCCGACTAAACATTAGAAGAGTGGAATTTTTTATAATAATGATAAAATAAAAGACAAAAATCCTTCATCATATCCGAAACTACATTATAAACATACCTAAATCGCCTATCAAAGGTTTAAGTCTGAATGAGAATCCCATGAGACTAACAACATAAATTATAGGTCCTACACTATAAAAACTAAATTCTAACTACTTGTCTACTTTTGGCAAACACAACAATAAATAAAGCTGATAATGCAAGAACATTCTTAGAGTTTCTAAAATATTTTAATACTATTGCAAACAAATGCAGAATTTATTTTTTCTTTGGGTATATTGACGTCCATCTAATCAATTGTTAATTATCCAGGATCTGAAATATCCTTTAGACGATAACCACAGCTTACAGGCAGACGTAGAAACTTCAAGAATGACAAGATGTTTCTGTGGAATTCACCGCAACCCACAATTGCGCGGAAAACCATTGCCGAGACTGAAATTATTACGTAACGAACCTACGTAAGTATCAAGCACCATCGTACTGACCTTTGATCAGCTAACTACGTAACAAACTGACAACGAATACATAAACGTAAATGCTAAAACGGATCATAAATAATATGTAGTTCTATTACATTATTAAAACGTTTAAATTTCATATGAAAACGTATTCAGATTTTTTGAGTCAAACTCTTTTTATTTTTTCCTTAATACTGATCTCAATAAATAATACCAGTCTTTCTCGAGTAGCTTTTAAAATTAATGTTTATTATTAATATATTATTCTGATATAAAAAGGAAAGATTTGGTTGTGTATTTACATCGAATAGGCTGTACCTCATTGCGCATAACATAGGCTTTAATTTACGCGGGCGACGTCGCGGGAAAAAGTCTAGTTTTTTGAATACCTGTAGATGTATAATATAACATACTGCTTTTCTGTAATTTTAGTAATATTAATCTCTTAACTTTTATAGAAATGTTCCTCAATATAATAATACTCTTGTATAAAAGTTTCTGCGCAGGGTCTAATTACTGTACCAACCTAGATTATATATTTTATCTGTTTATATGTGTCTCCTATTCTGTAATCTTGTCAATATTATACGTTTGTTACTTGAAATTGTTATAAATACTAATTTTAGTTTTTCTTTAATTGAATGAATTGGAATAAATATTATTATTAGATTTAAATCGTAAATAAAATAATTTATCGACATTCTTTATTAGGCATAATAAAAATACAGTGTAATAAGAATGTCGAGATACCATGGAGTGTTAAAGTGGGAGTTTTCAGAGAAAGCCGCAGTATCGAACCATTTCTCATCGTGATGGGTGCGTAGGAGTAACGCCTACACGGTACGCACTGCGGGTGAACAAACCGACAGGCAGAATACTTTTATAATAAACTGACCAAATACGACAAAACAAAAATGATATCGCGAAAAGGATTGAACACTTCAAAAACATTCGGGCAATTTAGATAATCGATATTTATTATTTCTTTGAACTCCAAGTAAAAAATATTACTGGTAAATTATTCCATATTAACCCATCCCAGAATCGAAAATGGAGTTTTTGAACTTTCTGACGGCCATTTTCTCATAGTTTTTAATAAAAAAATGTCAACGTTATTGACATTTTTATTACATAAAAAGTTCTGAAAAAAAGACACTTAAAACACCTTGGATTATGGAAAAAATATACACTTTGCAATCTTCTAATTATGCGTCATATGAGAACATTTAATATATTATAATATTCAAATGTTTTCATACTTAAACCTAGCACTTGTAATAACATTCTCAAGATCATACATGGTACGGATGCTGTACCTAATATTAGTAGTAATACATAAATATTAAACAGAGTAGTATTGTCTACGGGTAATGTGTCTATATCTGGACTGCGCCGGCGCCGACTTTATGAGTCATCAAACCGTGACGATATGTCAACTTCTGCATTTCTTATGACGTAGTCATAACATATGTATTAAAGGTCAAAATACTTCAATGTCTAACATATCTATGACGAACAATAATGTAGAAAAACAAGTTTTATTAAAACAACACAAAAACATTTAATTTAGTTGAAAAAGAATCTCACACCCAAGAAGTCTGATAGTTTTTTTTTTATATTTAATCAATCATTCGACGTGTGTTTTGTTCATGACGAAGTCGTACCATCATCGATATATCATTAAGCAATCTCTTATTTGGGGCGGAATGAGTATCCGCCAGTAATACTGACTGTCAATAATTATTACGACGTAATCCATGATTGATGTACGCCAGTAACTCGGTAGCTCCAATCGAGATATAATTGAGGGGGCTATTGTAACCGTTATTGATAGTTGCTATAGATAAATCCAAGCTTCTTATTACGGTGTTAATTAAAGGTGCGAATAAGCTTTATGAGTCGAAGTCAATTCAATATTTTTCGTAACTGTAGTGCAGCGTTATAGCTTCGTAACGCTACGAAAAAACTACGAAATGCTACGATAATTTACAAAAAAATAATCAAAAAAAATTGTTTCTACTTCAACTAAATTAACTAATCCTTTAAAAAACAGTAAAATAAAAAATAACTGAAAACACCAAACAAATATTCTAATTGACAACTCGATTACCTTGTGAGTAAGAAAACTCGAGACGCTGCTAAGTCAATATCATTTCCAAACTCAATCTTAAATTTAAATATCTGATTGCCCAACTCTGACGCGCCAGTACAAAGTACCTAACTTAAATCGGTAGCGAGCTGAAGTCCAAATCGGTAGTGTCGGTCCAATATGGAGGCGTCGCGGCGTACGCGCCCGCGCCGGCAATTGTTTACGGCGCGCACGCGCGGCGCGGCGCGTGTCCCCCCGCACCCCGCGGCAGCTGCTTCGCACAGGTGGCGCGTGTGGGAACTCGACAGCTCTGTACGTTCCCACGATCGCGCGCACACCACTCCCTATATAAGCCCCCGCCCGACCGCCACACCGCATTCCGCGTTCAACGCTCAGCGCTAACGCACGCTTTCACTCAACACACAAATGTCTAACATGTCTTACGAGATCGCGTACTCACTCGCAGACGATGGCCCGCAGCCCGTCTCGCGCACTTATCAATATCGCAAAGTGATGAAGCCGATGCTCGAGCGCAAAAGACGCGCTCGCATTAATCGTTGCCTCGACGAACTTAAGGAACTGATGGTCAGCGCCTTGCAGTCAGAGGGCGAGAATGTCGCTAAATTGGAGAAAGCTGACATTTTGGAATTGACCGTTCGCCACCTTCACAAACTTCGCCGCCAGCGTCGCCTGTCACTCAACTCAACAGTGGACGCCGACCGTTTCCGGGCTGGATTCACCCACGCCGCCAACGAAGTGTCACGCTGCTTAGCTTCCATTCCTGGAGTGGATGTGAGGTTGGGCACACAGCTCATGACACACCTTGGACATAGACTAAACGACATGCAGCGCACCGCTGCTGGTACTGACACACCCCCAGCGAGTCCACCGAGCCCTGCACTCTCCACAGTTTCTTCATCATCAGGATACGGGAGCCCCTCACCGCCCGCGTCACCAGTGCCAGTGGCAATGACACCCTTGGACTGTACAACCAGCTCTAGTTACACCAAGGGTCCAGCGGTCTGGAGACCCTGGTAAACTACTACCGCGGGCGCGCGGACCCGACTCCACGGTCACATCTGTTCCAGCACCGCTCGGAGTCGCTCGCTCCCAATGTGTCCGCCGCACCGGTTCAGTGATGCTCATGTGAAAGTTTCTGATAACTTAGATCTCACAATTAATTAGTGTAGGAAAATAATAGCTCGTAAGTTCAACTTCAAAGCTTTAATTAAAAGTAGCCTTAAAGACTATTTGTGATATTAAAGAGTTAAATATTAATGTTTAAGAAATGTTGTATCGAGCCTTGCCGAGGTCGTATATTGTTATATTTTATCGTTGAAAAGATTCCACATTGTGTGGAAATAAGAGAGTAAAGTTAATAAAAAATATTATTTCTTATCACAATTTCTGCATTTCAATTTCATTTACCCTTTTTAAAATATAAGCAAGAGCAAAACACTATTTATATAAAACATACTGACGAACTCAATAATACTTTCGATGGTGAATTTTTATGAAACATAATTGTATTTTGAGTTGCCAAAATACAAGGTAGGTAAGGCATAACTTAGCGGAAATATAAAATTAACATGGAACGCATCGACGAATAATAATATAACTGTATGTTATACCTATAGAGGAGGTTAAGGGCATCACCTTCGACATAGCGAGATCTGTGCCGCGCGCGTGCCCAGTAACTTTCCTGTTTACTCACATTACTTAACAATGAACAACATATTAAAGTTATTTATAACACTTCAACCAGATAACAAGATCAGAACTGTTAAATTGCTCTATTATGAAACAATTAATACCTTATTTGTGTAATTCATCATAATTCTTGTCACTTACACCCAGTTGCAGAAGCATCCATGAAGGTTTAATAATAATTAAGCACTTATGAATGTTCTAAATTTTAACATTACCGATACAAACTAATAAACCGAGCCTAATGACAATGTTGGTGGATGTTTGTGCAACTGTGTGTATGAGACTTACGGTCATGAATATCATAGTGCAAGACATAAGAAAAATATCATTTACTGAATTTTTATTAACATTAAATCAATTTAACTTTTCTACGTAGGTAAATTACATACAAGTACCTAATTATCTTAATAATATTAGAATCATTCTAATAGGATTAACCATTATACCGACCCATTGATATATTTAGTGATTGCAAAACTCACATTCAAAGATTTATATATGAAAAATTAAGCTTTTTATTGTTATAAAAATATCTACGCAGTTATTTTATCAACAGGCAAAACTTCATTGACTTTTTTGTCCTGAAAAAAATTTTTTGAACAGATACAGATAATATAGAGAACTATAATCATGAATGTAACAGCGTAATACAAATTCACTTAGTAAAAAATAACTTTGGCATATTTTAAACAAAAATTGCGCGAGCGAAGAAGTATTATTTGGCGCAGGTAAAGTTTTGAAGAAGTGCAGAATACTTCCATTTTTTATAACAATGCTTATAAATGTGTTAAATTAATAAATTTTATTAAAAAAACTGAAGTAGTAAGTATTTGATATTAAAACCTCAATAATGATCAAGCTTTATGATTGAGTTTCCACAATTCGGCAACCTACTTACTACTTACATTTAATCAACTATGTAACACGATGTCATATAAAATCGATACCAGTAACTCCATCTGTTGTGTGGTCAAGTAACTATAAAGCTTTCATATTATAGCGCTACCTAGCGAAAAATTTTGTTACTAGAGCGAGCTTTGCGTTGTATGAAAGGAGAGGTATACGAGCATACTTTTAAGCTTTTGCTTAGATGTATACTTTTAATCATTCTTTTGGGAATTCTTTTTATTTCTTTCATCATTCATTCTTTTCTTCTAAAAAACGCTGAAGGAAATATTATTAATTATATTGTAAAAAAAAACATTTTATATAATTTTATCTTTGACAATGACCACAAAAAAAAAATTACGACCACTTCCATACAAACTTTAATAAACTTTTCATCCCTTTTATCACAATAAAAAGCAACCAATGTTATATCAAGTCAACTCGGTTTAGTGGTTTAGGTGTGAGAACGTAACAGACATATACACAGGTTTACTTTCGCATTTTTAAAATTAGTATGGAATAATTAACGATTAGGATTACCCAAATAAACACACTGATAGAATATAAATCACATTTGCTTGGTGGACTTTTAAACTCACGGCTGTTTTTTATTTCGATTTTAAATATAGAAAATTTGGTGTGAACTAATGAAAAAATATTGAGGTTAATTTGTAATGTATCGTAACCAACTGAGTACAACTGTAACAAAAACCTCCATCCAATTAAGCGGCTAGCTGTGTACTAGAATATAGCCATTCATTTTCTTCTACAGACGGCTGTACATTACAAAGTTCAGGGAATTGGTCAATTGTCAAGGATCGAAACACAAAAATTAATTTTATATATAGAAAAATATTCACTATATTAGAATAAAAATACCTTGATAAGATAATAATAATTCTTTAATTATTCTTTTCTTAAAAATCTTTAATTATTTAATTACTAGACATCGGATTATATGATTATATGCATAATTCTATATTTATGGCGTTATTGCATATTTTAGTACTTTTTCATTAACGGTGCATATTTCAGGAGTTATACGTGTTAAGCGTGTCGTATTATTACCGTTGGCGCTGCAAATCGAACTACCCCCAGAACCAATATTAACACGGTGGGGAACTTGGTTAGAAGCTGTATTGTTTTATGCTGAGAATTTTGAAGCCATAAAAGAAGTAGTTGGAACATTTGACAGATCAGACGCCATTGCTATCAATTCAATCAAACCAGCTGGCATTTGAGGATCCTTCAATTAAAAAAAAATATTGCTCTTATCGCAACATATTTCAGCAGTATACCCAATGCAATTGAAAAACTTGAAACCAAAAATCTTCCTCTGCAAATCTTTGGAAATATTAAAAAATATGATTGAACTAAGTAACGCCCTTCCGAGTTCAATATCGCAAAAGGTTCGTGGCGAATTAAATAAAGTTTTGTTTAAAAACCCCGATCTTGACTCAATAAAGAAAATTGACGCATTCATCTACGGTACCGGTCTCTGAAGAAGTCTCTGTAGGAATGGCGCCAAATTTTAAGTACTGTCCGGTAACGTCAATTGACGTTGAAAGGTCATTTTTGACCTATAAGTTGATATTGAGTGATAAACGTCACAGGTTAGCTGTAGAAAACCTGGAAAGTATATTATTGTTTACTGTTACAAAAATTATAGCACTGAATAATAATACGTTATTTTTTTCTCTTTTCTATTAATTTATAAAATAATTCATTTATTATTTAAAATAAATGTAAATTCTAACTATAAATGTTTTTTTGATTGTGCATATTTGCATGCATATTTTAAAAACATATATCTGAAATTTACACAAAACTAAATCGAATCGAATCAACTCGAAAAAGAAGAATGGGCCATGACCCAACACGCATACCCAATGTGGATTGCTGGGCGTACCGACTGCGGGACCAGTGGCTCAACATGCCTTCCGAAGCTCGAAATGGTAAAATTTTGGTTACCCAACTTGTAATGGGACATCGTTGACCATAATATTTTATTTAATTTACATACTTGATTTGGTTATTATCAAAGATATTTAAATAGTTATAAATTTATTTTTATATGTGGTCTTACACTTGAATTGATTTTGATGCGTTTTACATACAAATTATATAGATTTTTTAATACTAAACCATAATTAGTGTGCTACTTGTGGGTTTGAATAAGTAATTCAACAACCAATTTTAAAAAGTCTTAGAATTCTTTCCCGTGCGTAAAAAGAGTGATAACATAACAGATTCATCGATTCTTCCTATTGCATCATCAAGTGATAGCCCGATTGACACATGTTCTGAATGTTATCTATGTAAAACGCGTACACTATTTAATTTTGTACACTGACTTGATCAGAGAGAACAAAGCAAAAGTCGCAGAAAAATATACATTGAATAATGTACGTTATCATTAGTTTAGCGTGTACCTTTTTTATTTACCCGACAGCAAGACGCAAAGGATGGCAATGTGTTTATCGCCCATTTACGTTTGTTCCCTGTTCTACGGAGACAAATCAGAACCTCTTCTTCTTCCAACGGACGTCTCCGCAACTCGACGTCAAGATTGCGCCTGTTTTGCGTATGGAGGGTGTGTGGCCGGATACTACTCCAGCCAACCCAGCTCTGCCAGAAACGCTCCTAGCGCCTTCACGTTTGCGATGGCCTCCTGGAGGTTAACCGGCGAACCGAGGTGCTTTGCCCGGTAGCTGGCCACTCCGTTGCATTCCAGCAAGACGTGAGCGGCTGTTTCTTCTTCCCTCATGCATCCTCTGCATAAGGGGTTGTCAGTGACACCTAGATTAAAAAGGTGCCTGTTAAAATTACCATGACCAGTGATAGCGCCTGTTACCAGGCGCAATATTGGTTTACTTAGCTGTAGGAGGGCCTTTGAGAGACGAGCGTTTACTCGGAGTAGTGCGAGTTTTGCCTGCCTGCAGGTCTCCAGGGTGTGCCAGTATTGTTGGTGTAGTTTACCTGAGTGGTCTCGTATCTTACCAATTAACCAGCTTGCGGGGATAGCACGGAAAAACTTTTTAGTTTACAATACTACAAAACGTCTAGGTTAAGAGAAATACTGTAAAGATAACTATAATTTTGTACACGGAAACAGAAATATTGTTAACATAAGTTGACATTTTGTAAGCAATACAATTACAGTTCTGTTATTTCTGAAATTGTAATCAGATCTGAAAGTATACTAAACATTACAAGAAAAATTGTATTTTAAAAATCTACAACACGAGTTATGATGAGTACTGAAAATACGTTTGTAATTACAATACAATTAGTATAGAGAACAATCAGTGATGTTGCATTTGCAAAACTTCGCGCGGCTTAGCGGCGATCGAGATGCGGGGGGTGAGGGGCAGTGAACTTATTGCATCATTTTTCTTTCTTTTAGTCGCGCGCGCAGTGAAGTGACATTGATAGGATTACTATTATTCTATGGGATAATCGCCCGCCGATCGCCGCCATTACGCTTCTTAATCGTGTTTTATTGTTTTAAAATTAAAATGGACGAAGATGTCAGACACTTACTAATTGCTTGAGTTCTCAGCGGTTATGTGGATGTGTTCTCTGGTAAGTTTCATTTATTTCATATGTACTCATCAGAAATGATATACACCTGACTTTTTAGATTACGTACTTATAATCACGCCCATATATCGGGGCAAGCAGAGCCCTACGGTGTAATTCACACAAGCGGCCACGTCCGACGAGGGGGCTAGATGTTTTTATTGTGTTACTGAGTAGTGATATGACAAGTGCTCATCAGCCCGTCGCCTCAATAGAGTACTTTAAAATGTCCTTTCCCTTCAGTCTGATACTCTGATTTTGGATCTTGCACGGGAATGATGATAGCTGTTTATCTTTTTCTCCCAGAGCTGCGTATGAGTACATAACTTTGTAGATATACAAAATGTTATGTTGTGAGATGTAGGTGGGACTGGGATATAAAAGTAAATCCTTACCTCTTTTTTAGATATTAGGTACCGGGCTGACTGATCTATGTATTTTTTTATTATTATTTATTTTTAATTTCAGAAAACCACATTACGATGGACTGCTTAATGCTGTTGGACTCGCATATAATTAAGGAGCTCATACCACCAGTTGGACATAGAGTAAATTTTATTAAAAATTTCAACAATTGGAAGACCTTGATGGATTCTGAGA